GAGTTAAGTTAATCCCTTCATCCATTTTGCCGAGTTTTATTTCCTTTCAAATAGCCTACCACCTGCCTTCCAAGCGATTAGCCACGGCCACTTTAGCCCGCTTGCACGATTGTCTATTTTTAAAGCTAAATTAAATCGCGTGTGATTTTTTCGACTCCTTTTTTAGTCCTCCTCTATGTCACGTTTTCATATTTTTATGTTCCATCGCATCACATTCGTCGTTTCCTAACATCGCTTGCTTTTACTTGAAATTTTGAATAGTCAAACACATATGTACATACACATTCGAGGCAAGTGCATACATAAAAACAGATGCGACGGTAGCGTCAGCGTCGCAAGGACACGTGCAAATTTGAAACACGTTTCACACGATTGCCGAATGCAGCGGCGGTTGCAGACGATGCGGTGTAGACAATGCCAAGGCACGACAGTGTACGAATACGCATTCGAATTGGGCTAACACATACACTATAACGAAAGTAACGAATTAAACGCATCTGATTGTTTTATTAAAGCCCTGTGAAAGTGCTCGCACAGTGATTTGCATCCTTTTGGCCATGAAGCTTAAAATACACTAACACTATTAACAACCGACAGCGACACTTTATTTGGCCTTCTCTACAAAGCAGCCATCTGACAAAAGAATGAAAGAAAGTGAGAGTAGTGAAAAAATACTATAAATATTATATGGCTCTTGCAACTGGATGTGGGATGGCTACATTATAGAGAAGTGCCTAGCCGTATCCGACTGCGAGGTAGTACGTACAGCCTAAACAAACAAACAAACTAATGGACAAACAGACGAACACGCGACGTATAACCAAATGCTCATTCGAAACACTCAAAGCACACAGCTGCCCTCGGTGTCCTGTCACAAACTGCCGACAGCAGCCTCGCGAAATTTGCATAGAGTCCCGGCGCGACTGGTGGCACGAACACCAAAGCGGTAACGAACCGAAAAAAAAAGCGCAAACATGCAAGCAAAGTGAAATGCGAAAAGGGAAAATCCTAAAACGCTTTAAAGTCAACAACAAGTTATGCTGCATCGCCCACATGCCAGCCAACCAACTGCATTTCCTAGTCAGGTAGCTTTGCCAGCGCCAAATATGCAGCTACCTTATTGCATTAAAAGCTCGCGACGTGTTGCGTGTTATAGAGCTTTTGATGTTATTACAAATAACAGGACTAAGTCGAAATAACGCGCATTGTGTATGACAATGACATTCGGCTGCGAGTAACTTGCCACCAGTGTTGCCATTTTAGTAATTTTCCCACTAGATCCAGCCATTTTATTTTCTACTTAGCGGGAAAAATGAATTATGTTTTAATCATGGTTTACACAGCTTTCAAGTAAAATTTTCCTCTATGTAAACACAGTATTACATTTACATTTTGCAATGCAAAAAATCGAATGTACACTGAAACGTTACTTGCCATCCTAAATTTTTTACTCTTTTCGCGTTTTCAATATTGCAAGCAAAAGTTCCGCGGAGTGGATTAAACATCCAAAGTTAAAAGACTGGACTGTGGAAGATTTGAATGATTCCAAGAAAGCATTGTGCAAGTATTGCGAATGCAGTTTGAGCTGCAATTTACACTATCTACTTGCAAATGCTAATACTAAACGTTGGCTTGTTTATTTTTGTCCTGGCCTACCTATAGGGTTAGCAAGTATGAACAGGTAAGTAATACTAGTGATGTTCACTCATATGCTTTCGATTGGTGTATAATCTGCATTATCCTGAGTTTCGCCTGAAAAAAATTCACCCGAAAGTTTGTCATCCGCCCATAGTAAAACCATGGAAACCAAAAGTGAGAAGTGAACCGGTTCGGGCTTGATACAAAAAAGAAGCTAGTTTCATTGTCACTTTTTCGTCGCCATATTAACAACCTGACAATTAAGTAGATTGTGACATTTCGTGCTACTATATCCAATATTAAAAACCCTCCCAATATTGTTATAAATTTTTTAGTTATTTACAAACATTTTGTTCTTAGAATCGAAATTTGAACAAGCAAAATGTATATTGATGGGTACGGCTCGGTTACTTGTACAATAATTATGGGTTAATGTGTCCAAATGCTTAACCCAAAGCAAACAATTTTGACACACACGTGTGGTCAAACAATTACACGTTAGTTTAAAATAAAGATTTCTAAATTTCCGATACAAATTATTAACGAATACTGTGGCCAGCGTAGTCGGAGTTGGACTTTCTCTGTCAAAATTCTAATTTCACCCAATTTTTTAAAGAGTCCGTTTGCGCTTGCCACCCCAAAACCATTGAACAAATAACCGAATATTTCTTTTGTTTTTGAAAGAGAACAGGTCTAATGCTCAACAAGTTGATAACTGTGTTTCTAGTTTTCATACTAACAATAAATCATCAATTTTGTTTCACACCTCTTCCAATATTGAACAGTAAAATATATTTGTTTTTACCCACAGAAACAACGATATTGTCGAAATATACTAGAATTATATAATACTCACTTTTCTGAAAGCCATGAGGCCCATGGGTCCCAAAGTAAATTCCGTTTTCAAGTTACTTGAAAGACATGGACAACGACAATATCGAAATTGTAATTTCAGTGTCTGAAATAGTAATAGTCCTGGCTGGCTACATTGTGAAATATTTAATCAGATGACATAATGACACTAAAAAATTTTAAAATATGTTCACTAAAATTTTATTAATGTAAAAATAAAGATTTTGGCAAGTAGTTATCGAATTTAATGTAAAATTTAAACGTTTTTAAGAAAAGATATTAATTATTTTTAAAAGGTAAATGTTAATACAACTATTTTATTTATACTCCCAAATTTAGGATATAAAATCGCCTCTACCGCTTACACCGCTTCGAATTTTTTACAATTGAGCAATTGTCAAAATCTCCTTTTTAATCAAAAAGTTGTTTATTGAAACTACCTTCTTTTTGTATTATAGGTTCGGGGAAAATGAAACTCATGATCATAGTACAGTTCCATAAGTAAAGTTACTCTTCTTCTTACCGTTTTTTCTGGCAGGCTGTAGGTGTGTGCTTGGCAGGCTGTAGGTGTGTTTTTGGTTAGTGTATTGGTGTTTTTGGTTCAGTGGGTTAGTGCATTTTGAATAAATTGTAATAGAAATAAAAGCAATTGTATTAGAAATGAGAGAAATTGTAAAAGATAAGAGCACATGCCAAAAAAACAGGTGATCTCAGCTGTAGGCATTTTTTGGCAATCAGCTGATAGTGTTTTTACTTATGAAACTGTACGATGCTCATGATAAGGCTGAATAAAAAAAATTTTCAAAAACCCATTATGTTTTATTTTTCCCCTGTTAAAGTTTGAAGTTATTTCATTTGTTTCATAAAAATCTGGAGTCATCTGCCCTATCGAAAGGTGTATCTACGGTTTATGGAGTATTTCTTTAGCTTCCATTTTCCGTACATCGTATTACAATTGTTAGATTGGTTCGTAAGATATACGTGATGTAGTGGGACTATTTTGTTTTAGGCTGAATAACGGCAAATTGAAAATATCTCGAGAACTTATCCATAGAATAAAAAATTAACTCGATTCTCGATTTGCATAGTGGCATCAATTGAGCATTTTTGCTGTAAACCAGTGCTATTAAAGAAATAATTTTTTCGGAAAAGTTTACAGAATTTAAATGATTTTGCGGAATTCTACCGATTTTTGTTTATCAATCTGGCGGGACGGCAAAAAATAAATGGCAACACTGCTAGCCACGTTGTTCAGCCGAGCGGGTAGTTCATTGAAGAATTCAGTTTTATAGCAGTTGTAAAGGAAGTTTTGTTGTTGGCAGCGTAAAAGACAGCAGCACCTACATACATACGCAGTACCGTTGCTTGGATACGGATTAACCTAGTAGAGCTTTCAACTTACTGATTGCTTAACAACGCTGAGGAGCGCAAGCTTTCAAGTAGAAAGTTTGGCGAAAACGACTTGTTGGAATTCCGTTTCTTGAGCTTTCCTTGGAATTTCCACTTCTTAGAGGGCGCTCAAAATAACTAAGCAGACTCGCGCGAGTTCAAAAATATATAAAATACTAGTTTTTAGCATCAAGCGTTTATTGGAGTAGATTCTTTCGCGTCATTCAATTGAAATGCGCCAGTCGGTGTAGGATAAAACTTAGTAAACGGCTTTTACTTATAAAAAAATAAGGTGAAATTATTTCGTTGATGCACGTCTGCGTTAACTAAGCATTATACTCTAACGTCTGAGCCATTATTGAGTGCATAACAACGTGGCATGTAGTTACAAACGACCACTTATTTTTACTTTCACAATCTCTTTTGAATCTCCGCCTCCCATTGCCTACGGAATCCGGAGATGTACCGTTTAGACTAAGTTCAAAAGGTACTATCAGAAACTCGGCTCAAAAATGATTTCTAGTCGTCAACTATGTAAACCTTGTTTCTAGCGATGAGTTAAGCCCATCGAGGAAGTAGTTAATCTCTACCGCCTGCAATGTGGCCTTTTCCGCCTCCTGCCCAAATATATTCCCTAAGGGAAAGGCCAAGCATCACTGGTAGACGAATGAAATCACCTCGCAAAGCATGAAGAGGAGTAAATTTTTCAATGCTGCAAAATGCAAAGATTCCTTGGCTGTGTACAAGGAAGTCTTTAAGAATTTTAAGAGTACCCTAATGAAAGCTCCGAGGGACTCCTGGAAAAATTTCTGCGGAAGCATCGAGAAATAGCGGTAGGCCATTCGCTTAAGAAAAGTGCTAGCGTAGAATTGGACCCATCGGAAATATACATATGTATTCAAAAGCCAAATGGCACCTGGACGTAATCTCAGGAAGAAATGCAAGAGGTACTACTGAGAGCACAATTCCCGGAAACTTAACTCTGGGTGTCCGCTGCCAACTCTGAAATTTATAGATGCCAAAAGGGTAGACTGGGTGATAGGTCCTTACAACTCTACAAATCTTCATGTATGGACGATGTTTTCGACGCCGAAATTCAGCTGGTATCTCCTATTCTGTGACCTTATGGACCATAGCGGTAAAGTGGAAAAGAAGGTATTTACCGCCTTCGATTTCCTCTTCATCTCTGCAGAAGTCGTTTTTAGTAAAGGGTATTCTTCGTGTGTGTGTGTGTGTGTGTGTGTGTATTCCCACCTAGCAATCACCAGTAATGACTCCAACAACCATCCTGAGGTGAGGACGTTCGATCCAGGAAAATACACAAAATCATACAAGATGAATGCGAATAAGAAAAGGAATACGAAGGCGAACATGGAGATGGAGATGGAGAAGACTATGAGTACGACAACAAATTGGAATAAAAATACGAATCGAATGTGAAGGCAAATAGATTTTATGGAAAGGTTCTTCAAGGCAGTAATACACTCGGAAGTCTGCCATTGCCTGCCTAGGAGCGACCGCTGTTAGAAAAAACCCATCACCATCTCCGTTAGAATTGAGAGGGACCTCCACGAGGAGTTCGGTACCAAACTAGATCGCTCAGCTATAAATATTGGCGTTGTAGATGAAATCGACCTTAACAACTGCACCGTTGGTTCTGGCTTTTACAAATTGTATACGCGGGAAAAAGCCTTTTCTCATCGTACCAAAAATTACACTGTATAAGTCACTCATTTGACCCGTGC